AATACTTGAAAAAATTTTTCATGTAAATCCATTTATTCTTTTCTATTTCAATTTTTCTTAGCAAAATGCACTTTACTTCATTATTATTCTACCAATTTTTGAGAATTTGTATGAAATAAATCTCAATTTATTTTAAAATATTTGTTAAATTATCATGAGACTTTGATTCATTCACTTTTGATAAATAACATTTATAAATTAAAAAAGTGGTGAGGATATTTAAAATCAAAGCTGGAAAAATAATTAGAATATTTGCATATATGATAAAGTACAAAATTATGCTGAACTCGTGAGGGCTGTTAAAATGCGTGGAAATTTAATAAATATGTTGAATCATCCTTGAACCTTTCTACGTGTCATTTTTTAACTTTTAAATTTTTTAAATTATTGCCAATTTCAAATATATTCAAAAAATTATTCTAAAGTGTATATTTTAATATTTATGTGCATACATATATTTTCTGATAAATGAATATATTCCCGGCTAAAAATATGCTCCCTCTTCACAATAACTTTTGTTCCACTATAATTGATGCTTAAAGGTCTCAACATATTTTTCCTTAATATCTCCTCTTTAAGCTTTATTCTTCCGAATCTCTTCTAAAAATATCGCTACCATCCAAATTGGTGACAGTTCAACAGAATATACTGTTTTAAAAGATGTGCGCATTATGGAGTGGAAGAGTAATGAAATTGAACAACCAGGTATTTTCTCAAGGAAAATAAAAGTTTGAAGAAAATTTTTTTAGAGCAGATAACAATTTGGATTAGAAGTTGTAATCTGAATTGTTTGAGGATGGTCAATGAAAGAAAAGATGGAGAATTGCCTCGATTTTTACTTATAGGTGATCCTAGGTAAAATACGAATTATTCCCACCAAGATAAAAATAATTCCAAAATTTTTTAGGGGTCTGTTTGATGAAAGTGACTTAGTAGAAACAAAATCAAGATATGCAAGTTTTGAGAAGCTTGAAGGACAAAAATCAACAAAAATGCTTCTTCAGACACATTATTTAATGGTATGTAAATGTATATACATATTATATAGAACATGTAGGACCCCAAAAACAAGGAAAGGTATTTCTAGAAATTCCTTTTGTTGCATGTAAAAAATAGCTAAAAACTAAAATTTTCATTTAAAAGAGAGACAACGACAGATTGTTGAAAAGTACAGACTGTGACGAATTATTTGGAAGAGTAGAAGATGAAAGTTGCTTTATATAAAAAGGCTGCTGCTTTAAAAAGAGATAAGACCCAAAGATAATTTTATACATAATTTGATCTTACAGAATTTGTATTATAAAATTAATATTCGATTTTTTTTGTCGCCTACAGCGCCAAAAATTCTGATTTAATAAGATTTAAAAGGATTAAGAGCGATACTGGGGATTCTGAAGTATTAAATTTAATATCAAAGGACTTGAGCGTGGCAACGAGGGATCAAGAAGATATCGTTGGATTTGGAGGGATTTTGAGGGATATGAGGGGATTTTAAGAGATTAATGTGAATATCCGTGGATATATATTGTGGACTTTGGGATTCAAGGGATTTTGGGAATTATGGGGTATATCAAGGGATTTTTGGTGATTAGGAGAGACATCAAGTAATATCCCTCTTAATCTCTCGGTCTCGACTCTCGGCTTTTTTAACTCTCGAACATCACTCGTATCCCAATAAATTAATCCGCTTTTAGAAGATTTGTGGCATATTGGGCTTGCGCCATAGTGGGCCGTACCCATATTTTTAATATTTGGCGCGGAAACGTGCCTTCTATAACTGGCGCTGAACAATGTGCGCGGAACTGAGCGCGGAAACGTGGGCGCCGAATCGTCCCTAACCGGAGAGTAAGAAGTGAGAAAGTGTGATGAGAAAATCTAGTTTCATATTGTTAACTAGTGAACGACATATCGACTTTTTCTTAAGGAAAAAAAGTCGTTTTAAAAAAATCTACAATTATTCGCGAACGACTTTTTTTTAAACACACAACGCCAGAACTACGTAAATATCGATGTTTTGCGCCAAACGATTGCGAAACGACTTTTTTGTGTCTCTTTTTCTCTAATTTCACATTATATTTCCTTTCTCTTTTTCTATTACACAGCAACATAACCTGCAACTTAGAGCCGTTTCAGTGGCACTGAAATAAATAAAAAAATTTCTCTTTTTCTATATCGCTCTATTTTTTTCGCATGCTATTTCTCTAAAGATTTGATGTATAATTTCGAGGAGCTTTATCTCGAAAAAAAACTTTGAGAAAAAAATTTCAACTTAGCCAAATCGTTAAACAAAGTCTTATCTTTGTTTTAAAACCAAATTAATTGATTTTTAATATGTTTAAAAAAAGTTACATATGGTTTTATAAGTAAATTTAGAAAATGAAAAATAATGGAAAGATTGATTTGAAAAAATTTATTTTAATTTAAAATGACATTAAATGTTAATCAGAAAAGATATTATTAGGATTTCCTTATTATATAATTCATTTTCACTGAAAGGATTCGAACCTCGTGCATTTTTCGCTGTCACTAACCAACTAAACCATACTCCCGCACTGAAAGGCTGGTTGCACCCTCTGCCTGTTTTATGTTGCTGTGTATTAATTTTCGTTTGTGTAGTCTCTCCTTTGGAATTTGCAATTTTCCATTTTTATAAATGTTCAGTCCCTTTTCTGTAATTTTTAGGGATTTTTCCACATATATTCTTACTAAATGGATGAATTTGAAAATGAATTAAGAGTCGCATTCGAAAGCGGCGATCTCGAAGAACCTGTGACACCGTCATCGAAACGTCGAAAATCCATATCCTTAAGGATTAGATCTAGGAAGTCCGAAGAGTAGGCGATCATGGAATATGTTAAATATATCGAGCCTGGTTCTCAACATCACCACCAAGCAACTGCTGGCCAACCTGTAAACACTATTAACGCGAAACAAAGTCAAATTGAAGATCAGTACCAACGTTTAATGGTTTTGGGTGATCAACGAAAGAGAAAACTGGAAAAGGCTTACAAAGGTTGTTTAGAAAACAATCCCAAAATTATCTTTAAATCCCTTTTATTTAAAGCCTACCAATTATTGCGTGAAGCAAATGACCTCGCAGAGTGGATAAAGTCACGAGAAACAGTTGCTTCTCAACAAGAAATTGGTCAAGATTTGGAACATGCAGAAGTATTACAAACAAAATTCAATGACTTTAAATGTGACTTGAAAGCAAATGAAGTTAGATTACAAGAAATGAATCAAATTGCTACTAGTTGGAAGGCTTTAGAACAAAAGGCGGAACAAAGAGGGCAGCAATTAGAATCTGCACATGAAGTTCAACGTTTCCATAAGGACGTGGAGGAGACGAGGGATTGGATACAAGAAAAGAATGAAGCTTTGGATACTGAAGATTTTGGTCGTGATCTTCGTTCAGTCCAAGCTCTACAAAGAAAACATGAGGGAGTTGAAAGGGATTTGGCTGCTTTAGGGGATAAAATACGTGCTTTAGATGAAAAAGTTAAAAATTGAATCCTTTTAAAAGCAATTTTTGTTTATTAGGCCAATCGTTTACGCTTTTCTCGCTCAAGAGGACCCGACTGGGGATAATGTTGAATCTCTAATTAAAAAACATGAAGATTTTGATAAAGCTATTGCTTCACAACAAGAAAAATTAAATAATTTGGATCAATTAGCAAAACAATTAGTACACTTATTTCATTTTCTACACTTATTTCATTACAATCATTATTTAAAGATGAATAAAATTTTGTTGTTTTATTTTTTTTAAACTTTAGAAAACGAAAACCTAACAAAAATTCCAATGGAGAGACAACGACATAGAAAATTAATAGAAAAAGAGAAAGGAAATATAATGTGAAATTAGAGAAAAAGAGACACAAAAAAGTCGTTTCGCAATCGTTTGGCGCAAAACATCGATATTAACGTAGTTCTGGCATTATGTATTAAAAAAAAGTCGTTCGCGAATAAAAGTAGTTATTCGCCGCGAATCGACGAAAACGTAGATATGTCGTTCACTATTGTTAACTACAAGACAGTTAGAGTGTTATTGATTTTTTGTATTTTCGAAGAGTATCGATTTTCTACTTGTTACATATTCTCATTTCTTTTGCTTTTTTTTTTATTTTTTTTGATTCCTTTCTTATTGCTTCCATCTACTTCCCTAAGTAGATTCATGAATAGTCTTCAAGGCAGATATTGGATGATTAAGACTGTATTTTCTTTTTATTCTCCTTTTCATTACTAGATTATGTATAACAATTTTTTTCGGATCCTGTTTTGGTCCTGTTTTTTTAACCCTGTTACGGATCCTAGAACCCTGAGTTCAATCAAGGGTTTTTTGTCAAGAACGAAATTTGTTCTTTGAGTTAACGAATTTTCCGTTTCAAAAGACCGAAATAAATTGTTATCAATTTTTCTGGCATTATCTTAAAATTTTTTAATTTTCTGTCGAATATTCGCGAATATAATGAAATTTTACGCCGTAAGCTATACGCCAAATTTTAATATTTTTGCTTTTACTTTTCATCGTGTTTATTAGACACTGGTCTGAATCTTAAACCGATTTATTATTATTTTGTTTGGGTGTAAAGGGTAAATTGTCGTTTACGGGCCATCCATTTCCTCCTCATAGTTCTTTCCTTGAAATGTAGTTCAGACCCCCTTCTTCAGTTCAACTCTACTTCCCTATGGCATATTCATGAACAATCGTCAATAAAAATTTGCGGAAGAAACCTTGACCAGTATGGACATATTAAGGAAAAACTTGGAGGAGAAAGGGGCCCGTAAACGACAAATCTACCTGTCAAAACCCTAATATTTCTCGTTTTTTATTTTAGAAAATTTATTCTAAATTTATCGAAAACTAAAGATTATTGTATGACTGAAGGCAAACAACTTTTCCTATTCTGACATACGCTTCCGGGGAACGAGAATCTTTTGTTTGAAAGGTTAAATAATTTTGTTTTTACTCATTATTTCAAAATTTTCAGGATTAAAGAATGTGCAGAAAACGAAATAAAGGCTATTGCTCTACTTCGCCTGGATGTACTGTTCTTCGAAAAATTCCAGCTGAAGATGTTTTGCAAGTTACTGCTGGGCATAATTATGTTGCATTCTTACTCAAGGTTTTAGTTCACAGTAGGGTTATAGGTCAGGTCTTCGATTCGGCACGGAGCCCCAAGATTAGAGATCGGTTCAAATCCGGATTTCTTCGGTTCGGTTAAGAATTTCCTAAGATTTTCTAAGAGCTAACAACCTAGTTCACAGTATCCCCACCTCTACTCATACATTTTTAGGATCATCGAGTCGCTCGTCTTCGTTATGAGATTGATGCCAACACTATTGAATCTGCTGCCCCAACAGACAAAAGTATTTTCTAATCTTTTAATTTTTAAAACGATTCTTTGTTTGAGATGAATCCGGTCAGCGCAAGCCGAGAACGAACAACGACAATCATCAACAACTGCTTAACCCGTATCCGGTTCTGGTTCAACCCCAGCAAATAATAATTCTGATTTTGCTGGAAAAGAAAGTGCATGGAATTTGAAGGATTGTATATTTATTCATAAAGAGGCTGTAAATGATACAAGCATCGTTAAAATTGTAATTTTTTTATTTTTTATTAACACACGTCGGGGAATTTCTTTAACTTGTATTTAGAGATTGATGTTGGGTCTGGGGTTTGTCTGTCTCTCTGGTCTTCTCCTGGGCCCAGACTTTGATTTTTCCTGGGTTTAGAATCAAGTCAAGGCTTTTTTGGATTCTTTAATTTTTCCTTGACTTTAATTCTTCCTTGACTCAAAACCTTGACATTTGGATCAGAGGCAAGGATTTTTTAAAAAATCTCGAGCTTTACTCATAATTATCCTTTTCTCAGGTCGATGGTGCTTATTGTGGAATTGTTTTCAAATCTACAATGGAAAAGCTTGAATCTGAACCATCTACAGATTTAAGCAAAATGGGCATTAGACTCATGCGCAAAGATGATTTAGTTCTAGTTTCTTCCTCATCGCGTGGTTCAAGATCTCCAGAAAATTTTCAAATGCACTTCAAACAAATTCGTCTACCATCCTCTGTTAAACAAGTTTTATCTGTTGCAGTTGATTTGACAGGTTTATTAGTATAATTTAAAAATTCTAGTTCAAAAATTTTTTAGGATTTCATGTTTTATGTGAAAAACAGTCACGTGTTCATTTGCTTCGGATTAGTTGTGTTGGTAAACTTTTGAGCGATCATCCTATCCCATTCAATTTTGGAGCTTTAACACAAAATAAAAAAGATGATTCTTATGAGTGTATGACTACAGTTCAAAAGTTTGGTGATGTAAGATTTGCAGATTTTTTGAACGTTTTATCATGCTTTATTTTAAGGAAACAATTTTACTGTTGAATGATGGCTTTGGTGGAGGCTTTCAACCACTTTTACGGAACATATCTGGTGGATACAAGCAATTATCTTATACTGGTTTAGGCCGAATTCTTCAATATGGAATGGGTATAAGATATTTTGCATCATCTGGTGAGATTAAGAGTGCTAGTATATGTTCAGGTAATTTGAATAAAATCTGGATTTTGTGTTCATTCAATTTTTTTCAGAACAAATTAGCATTGACAAGAAGAACAACAGCTTGAATAAAAACGCCAATCGAACTCTTTTGATGGTTGCGTTAGTTTCTCCAAGCCCTGAATGTGCACTTTCTGATTTTGGTTCACTTATGCAGGCTATTTTTTTCTGGTTTGTATTTTTTCTTCTTTTATGTTTATTTATTTATTTATGAGCCTCAATTGAAAGGCAGCCTGCTATCGTTTGTGAACAAATCGAAGGAAATCGAAATATTTTTCATGTTGCCGTTCAAAATGCTTACAGCAAAACAAATGCCGACCAAGCTGATGTTGATGCTACTGATTCACGTTTATCAACAGCCTCGCAAAAATCTGACACTGTTGAGGCGGATGCTGTTAAAACACGGTTTCTTTAGTGTTTTGTTTCTGTATATTAATTTTTTAAAGTTATGAACGCAAATGGCAAGAAATGTTAAGTTCCGCTCCAACAACAAGAGCAAAAGCACATCAACAGCAGCAACTCCTAAACGAACTAACTTCTGAAATTTCTAAAAAAGGTTTTTTAAATATTTTAGATAACTTCGTAACTCTTATTTTTATGTTAGATTCTTCCCCTGAAACAGGCAAAAATGAATCGGAAAGTGCTGAGTCATCTGATCTTATCAATAAAAGGATTCCTATAGCTGCCAAGGAAAGACAAGGTTTTTAAATTTAAATTATTTTGTTTTCATAAATATAATTTAAGCTAATTTAATTGAAATAATTCGTGAATTATGCAAAAACGCCGTAGTACGTGAATACTTTATTGATTTAATGCGACAACGTGACATCAATGGGCATAGTCCATTTGAAACTGCGATATATCAACGTGCATATTCAGCTGCCCAATTGATGTGGCAAACTGCAATTGATGTTAAGGACTGGAGCCAAGGTTATTTTTTCTAGGTTTATATCCTAGTCCTTTTTTTGTCGGAAACTAGACGGCGTTGGCTCTTCGAGTTGAAACCCACCTTTTGAGCGTGCCGATTGACCGATTAGAAAGAGTTTCTCTTTTTAAACTTTTATTTAACGAATATTAGTCAAAAATAGGGAGTAGGAACCGGTCAACTTTAGTCGGAATCGAGACGAATGAATGAATTTAATCATCCTGTCTCTCTTTTATGAGGGTTAAAGATGGCCGTTTCTTAATTTAACGTTTAAAATTGATTTATATTATCCTATAAAATTTTCTAGATGTTGTTGATATATTAATGCCAAGCGTTGGATCTGACGATACAAATGAAGATTCTTCACTTTTTATTCTTTGTGCTAATGATACATGCAGTATATATTTTTTTTAATTGTTTCTTTTTTTTTAACTCACATAATTTAAAGGTTACACTTGGACAGGCGAAGAGCATACACCTCAAAAAATTTATGAATGCAAAACATGTGGACTTGTAGGGACTCTTTGTTGTTGTACTGAATGCGGTAATATTTACTCTTTTTTTTAATTAAAAATGATTGCTTTTTTAGCCCTCCTTTGTCATAGAAATCATGACTGTAAGTGAGTAATTTTATTTTTTTACGAAATATATGTCATTTAAAACTTTATTTTTTTTAGACTTAAGAAAACATCTCCAACCGCTTATTGTAACTGCTGGGAGAAATGTGAATGTAAAGCGTTGGTCACTGGAAATAATGCAAAGAGGGAACAATTGCTTTTTGGTTTTTTTTTAATTTTTTTAAAAGATTGTTAATATTTAAATTTGATAGGAATGTTACAATGCCCAGCATTGGTTGACGGTCTTAATTCTAAAGGAGAACACATTTTACTCTTTTTGGCTCGCACTCTTGGTCGTCAGGTTTTTTAATAAATTTTTGTTTATTCTAAAATGTTTAATTCAATAAATAGTTAATTGAACAAGAAGGCTATACGAAGCGGAATAAGCGCCCTGGACCTACTAACACAACTACAGCATATGGCGTTCCCATTCCTGAACATGATCTTGAACCACCCAAATTTGCTAGAAAAGGTTTTTTAAATTTAATATTTCAAAGTGTAATTTAATTTTTAGCACTCGATTTGGCAATAGGAAATTGGGATGTTGTAAAAAGTTTGCTTGATGTTGGTATCAAAAAGCCGAATGCTCTCATTAATTCCAAAACTGAAGATGATCAACCAATTTTAGAAAATGTTTTTCATTTGCTCGAGCATAATGGTTCAACACATTTGGACAAGTTTGTTTTAACTTTACTTGGCTGGTGTGAAGAATCGAGCCTTGACACTCTTCTTAATTTACTTGTACGTCAAGCCAACAAACAACAAAAGAAATTGGATGAAGAAGTCCGTTTTTTAATTCAAAGATTTGTCCGTTCAGTTATTCGTCTTTTTGTTATGGTCATTTTGCTTTCACCAGAAGCTAATGGAACTTTACTTGGTTTGAAAAATTTTTAAATTTTTTTTTAAATTTTAAACACTTTAGCAACAATTTTTGATGATATTAACAAAGCAATCCCAGCCCGATGCTCCCAGCTTAATTTATCCACTTTCTAACCAGTCAAATGCTACACAACTCGGCACATCTACTTCTGCTGTTGCTGCAATACGGGATTCTTTAAACAATTATCGAGCTGCTGCTATTTCTGGTGTACTTTCCTTAGTTCGTGCTAGTCTACCTGCCGCTCTTTCTCTCAATTCATCACTCGAGAAAAAGGATCAAAAGAAGCATAAAGTTATTGCTTTTGTAGCAAAATGTCGACGAGTGTTTCAGGTTATTTTAAACTTTTTCTTTTTTTAAACAAATTTCTAGGCGTTAATCAGTTATTCTTTGCTTGAATTGATTGGAATCACCGATGCTTTAATTTCTCCAATTCGTCTTGGAATCGTTAAACCTTCAGCCAGCATTGTCTCAAATGAGGATGTTTTGGAAGTTTTACAGCAACACTTGACCAACAAGCAAGATTTGTTCATTAATTCGTATCTCAATGCAAAGTGGTGATCGCAATGAAACGTCTACTGGGGTAGCAAACAATGCACGTATTATACAGTCGGCTGATTTACGACGGGATGATACTAGTCAAGCAACAGATATGGCATTGGAGCGTACTAGCGACGATGATATGTCAAGTATATATTTTTTATCAGTTTATTATTTTTATTTTTTCTTGAATTAGATGAAGATGATGACGATGAAGAAGATTTGGATGCGCCAGCAACAATTTCTAGAACTCGTGAAAACAGCAATACTTCATTTAGTGCTCGTGAAAGAACAATCTCTGAGCAAAGTCGACGTCGTCAAGAAAATGCGAAGCTATTCGGCAGAAATGGTTTAACTTAATGCACACAGAGATTTGGCTTTCATCATTGAATCTTATCTTTTCCATATTTGCTTTATCGACCAATCAGGCCAAGTCAGTTGTCCCACCAGTCAAGATTAGTCGAGCAACAAGAGGAAATTCTGAAATACGACAACACGAGAATGAGGAGCAAAAGAAGAGTAAACTTCGTCGTTTTTCAAACGCTCCGATTCAATTTCATATTCAACATTGAGGTTATTTATTTTTGTTTATTCTATTGATATTTATCTACATATTTTTAGTGATGCTGTCAAACATCATGCATTTACATATACGGCAGCTGATGTTTTGCCGCTTTCTGCCCGTCCTTATCTACTCAATTCTGACGCGGAACGTGATGTATTATTTGCTCTTCCTCCATCTTATCGTACAAGATCTGTGCATCGGGTTTCTTTTATAACTTCCTTTTTTGTTTTATTTCCTTTTTCGTTTTCAGCGTATTGCGCTGGAACATGGTGTTAAATTCCCTGCTCATCATAGCCTTTCTCAGCCTCCATTGTCCTATGCTGATTTACAAAATCGTCTATTCGGTGATGATGGCTCTCAACAAATCGAGTCGTCCTCTACTCACGAGGCTACCAGTTCTGATGCAATGGAAATATGTACTGCTACAAATGATGTTGGTTCGAAAAAACTGAGTCCTCCGGTTTTCAATGCATTTCAAAAGTCGATTGGCGATGGAATCGAACTATTTCATTTGTTGCAAAGGTATTTTTTAACTAATATTAAGGAACGTAGCTAGGGGGGCTTCTGGGGCTAAAGCTCCCCTCTTTCCCGAAGTGGGTCCGCCCCCTTCCCCGAACGTCCTTGCTAATATCAATTTTAAAATTTTTTTTAGAATTTCCATGACGATATCACTAAATGGTTAGGTGGTGATTCTTCTCATTCTGTTCTTATTCATAAAACTGGAGGTTTTTTTAATTTTTTATACGCCTAATTTAATTCCTTATATTAAAGTTTGTTCCCTTAATGTTCCGTTATTCTCAATTCCGAAAGCAGATGGATCGACTCGAAAGCACCAAACTAAAGATTTAGTTTTCAGTGTATGTTTTAATTTTTGTTGGATTCTATTAATAAATAAATTTTAGCAAGTTCCACGTGAGAAGTATGTTCTTCTAACAAACCTTCAGACAACTAAATCACCACTGTTCGTCGAACGAGTGGGGCTAGTGGATGTTATCTGATGGCTCTGGAACTTCAACAGCTACAGCAAGACAAAATGTTATTGCGAGAAGTGTTCTATGAGCATTGGACTGCAACAAATTGATGATGAATTTCAAAGACGAGAGAAGCTTAAAAATGTGGCAAAGATGCTTCCGCCACATTTTAAGGTCTAAATGATATTTGAATGAAATGTTTTTATTATTTTTAGTGCTTTTCCGTTTGCGTCGAATTTTTTGTTTTATTTTTTTAAGTACAAAATGTTATCAAACAGCAGAATTCTTACAATTAGATGCAAAAACGGAAAAGTACAATTAAGCCACTTGTAAAAAAAGGATTTTTGCGGATTCGTTTAGAAGAAAGCAAAAAGGCCTTTTCTTTACAAGTGGTATTTTTTTATCACATAATTTTTTTATTGGTTAAACATGGGTTTGGGTGGGCTCCCCTCTCCCTATTCCGGGTTTACCCAACTCTTCCAAGCTCCGAGAGCTTCAGATACTCCTAAACTCCAAAACAATCCAACAAGACAACCTCTTTTTTCTAAAAATTCGAACTTTTTTTCGAACGAAACTCCCAGATGAATTCCAGACGAGGCTTTCATACCTCCGAGTTATATCCAAAGGCACGGGTTCTTATTCAATAGGTGTAGACAGTAGGGCACTAGGCATAGGCTTCCTTAGACGTTGACCTAGACTTTGAATTACCCCCCCCCCTTCATGAACCAAATGTCCAGTGACCAATTGTCCCAATGATCAATTGTCCAATGACCAAATGTCCAATGACCAAATGTCCAGTGATCAATTGTCCCAGTGACCAAATGTCCAGTGATCAATTGTCCCAGTGACCAAATGTCCAGTGATCAAATGTCCAGTGATCAATTGTCCCTGGACCAAATGTCCAGTGATCAATTGTCCCTGACTGTCCCACACTAAAAATCCCACACTGAAAATCTGGCACCAAAAATGACCGACCCCCCTTTTTCAAAAATCCTCTCCACAGGTTCAGGCTTTCATACCTCCCAGTTATATCCAAAGGCACGGGTTCTTATTCAATAGGTGTAGACAGTAGGGCACTAGGCATAGGCTTCCTTAGACGTTGACCTAGACTTTGAATTACCCCCCCCCCTTCATGAACCAAATGTCCAGTGACCAATTGTCCCAATGATCAATTGTCCAATGACCAAATGTCCAATGACCAAATGTCCAGTGATCAATTGTCCCAGTGACCAAATGTCCAGTGATCAATTGTCCCAGTGACCAAATGTCCAGTGATCAAATGTCCAGTGATCAATTGTCCCTGGACCAAATGTCCAGTGATCAATTGTCCCTGACTGTCCCACACTAAAAATCCCACACTGAAAATCTGGCACCAAAAATGACCGACCCCCCTTTTTCAAAAATCCTCTCCACAGGTTCAGGCTTTCATACCTCCCAGTTATATCCAAAGGCACGGGTTCTTATTCAATAGGTGTAGACAGTAGGGCACTAGGCATAGGCTTCCTTAGACGTTGACCTAGACTTTGAATTACCCCCCCCCCTTCATGAACCAAATGTCCAGTGACCAATTGTCCCAATGATCAATTGTCCAATGACCAAATGTCCAATGACCAAATGTCCAGTGATCAATTGTCCCAGTGACCAAATGTCCAGTGATCAATTGTCCCAGTGACCAAATGTCCAGTGATCAAATGTCCAGTGATCAATTGTCCCTGGACCAAATGTCCAGTGATCAATTGTCCCTGACTGTCCCACACTAAAAATCCCACACTGAAAATCTGGCACCAAAAATGACCGACCCCCCTTTTTCAAAAATCCTCTCCACAGGTTCAGGCTTTCATACCTCCCAGTTATATCCAAAGGCACGGGTTCTTATTCAATAGGTGTAGACAGTAGGGCACTAGGCATAGGCTTCCTTAGACGTTGACCTAGACTTTGAATTACCCCCCCCCCTTCATGAACCAAATGTCCAGTGACCAATTGTCCCAATGATCAATTGTCCAATGACCAAATGTCCAATGACCAAATGTCCAGTGATCAATTGTCCCAGTGACCAAATGTCCAGTGATCAATTGTCCCAGTGACCAAATGTCCAGTGATCAAATGTCCAGTGATCAATTGTCCCTGGACCAAATGTCCAGTGATCAATTGTCCCTGACTGTCCCACACTAAAAATCCCACACTGAAAATCTGGCACCAAAAATGACCGACCCCCCTTTTTCAAAAATCCTCTCCACAGGTTCAGGCTTTCATACCTCCCAGTTATATCCAAAGGCACGGGTTCTTATTCAATAGGTGTAGACAGTAGGGCACTAGGCATAGGCTTCCTTAGACGTTGACCTAGACTTTGAATTACCCCCCCCCCTTCATGAACCAAATGTCCAGTGACCAATTGTCCCAATGATCAATTGTCCAATGACCAAATGTCCAATGACCAAATGTCCAGTGATCAATTGTCCCAGTGACCAAATGTCCAGTGATCAATTGTCCCAGTGACCAAATGTCCAGTGATCAAATGTCCAGTGATCAATTGTCCCTGGACCAAATGTCCAGTGATCAATTGTCCCTGACTGTCCCACACTAAAAATCCCACACTGAAAATCTGGCACCAAAAATGACCGACCCCCCTTTTTCAAAAATCCTCTCCACAGGTTCAGGCTTTCATACCTCCCAGTTATATCCAAAGGCACGGGTTCTTATTCAATAGGTGTAGACAGTAGGGCACTTAGACCTTAGATTTGATTAGATTTTAATATTTATTACCCAATTTAATATTTATTACTGGCTAAACCTTATCTCTTATTATTCACATTCTGTATTAATATTTACCCATTTCTCGACTCTGCCCATCTCAATAACAATATTTGTTTACCAAAATTTCCACTATATATATCCGCCACATTCTCATCTATTTTGTCTTATATTGAACTTTACTTTTTAACTCTTCAACTTATAATATTTTAACCCTTTGAATAAATTCATATTTAAAATCTAATTTGACCAAGGCTTAGAACCGAGGGTTTATAGTGAACTTACAAACAGTTCACCCCCCTTTTTTAAAGAATCCTCTCCATAGGTTCAGGCTTTCATACCTGGCAGTTATATCCAAAGGCACGGGTTCTTATTCAATAGGTGTAGACAGTAGGGCACTAGGCATAGGCTTCCTTAGACGTTGACCTAGACTTTGAATTACCCCCCCCCCCTTCATGAACCAAATGTCCAGTGACCAATTGTCCCAATGATCAATTGTCCAATGACCAAATGTCCAATGACCAAATGTCCAGTGATCAATTGTCCCAGTGACCAAATGTCCAGTGATCAATTGTCCCAGTGACCAAATGTCCAGTGATCAAATGTCCAGTGATCAATTGTCCCTGGACCAAATGTCCAGTGATCAATTGTCCCTGACTGTCCCACACTAAAAATCCCACACTGAAAATCTGGCACCAAAAATGACCGACCCCCCTTTTTCAAAAATCCTCTCCACAGGTTCAGGCTTTCATACCTCCCAGTTATATCCAAAGGCACGGGTTCTTATTCAATAGGTGTAGACAGTAGGGCACTAGGCATAGGCTTCCTTAGACGTTGACCTAGACTTTGAATTACCCCCCCCCCCTTCATGAACCAAATGTCCAGTGACCAATTGTCCCAATGATCAATTGTCCAATGACCAAATGTCCAATGACCAAATGTCCAGTGATCAATTGTCCCAGTGACCAAATGTCCAGTGATCAATTGTCCCAGTGACCAAATGTCCAGTGATCAAATGTCCAGTGATCAATTGTCCCTGGACCAAATGTCCAGTGATCAATTGTCCCTGACTGTCCCACACTAAAAATCCCACACTGAAAATCTGGCACCAAAAATGACCGACCCCCCTTTTTCAAAAATCCTCTCCACAGGTTCAGGCTTTCATACCTCCCAGTTATATCCAAAGGCACGGGTTCTTATTCAATAGGTGTAGACAGTAGGGCACTAGGCATAGGCTTCCTTAGACGTTGACCTAGACTTTGAATTACCCCCCCCCCTTCATGAA